AAAAAAGGAAGAAAATTCGGGCTAACAAGCATATTGTATGTATAATTCCGAAAAAATTCCGGAGAACTTGGTCTGGCTCCGAATATTAGCAAACTAATTTCCGATTACTAGTTGCTTTGACCCTAAATAGTAGGTAGTAATACCAAACTTTTCATTAACTAACCTTCACATGCCGCTGATTGATTGGTTACTCCGGATTTACTTGGTTGTTCTAATGTCGAACGATAACGATTATCTGAATCCACGGGATTTGTACCTTCTGCTGTCGCTTGCTGAATTTTTTCAAATTCGCAAATCCTCTCAACTGTTGCTTTTGTAGTTTGCTCTATTGCATCAAGCAACGTAAACTGACCTTTTTCCAATTTATCAAGTTTTTGCAAAAGTTGTAGCTGCCCTGTAAGCAGTAAAGGAGTTGGTGTTTTAGTTTGTACTAATTGATTATATGTATTACCAACCGCATGGAAAGTAAGACTGTCGGAAGACTATTGCCAGTTTAGAAGTCTAGACTCGTGTGTGGCGAGGACGCGTAGTAATTAAATCAACTATGGTATTCAACGGCATAGCACAGCACGCCTTCAATTATAGTGGTTGGTCCCCAACCTGATAAAACACTCCTGCTTGTTTATGAAATTCCACATAAATAGATTTGTACAAATACGTGGAAATTCAGACTTTCTTTCATAAATTATCATGAGTGAAAACGAGTTTGAAAAGTCATATCAAAAACTCAAGGGTCGAGTGGTGTGTTATATTGAATTACAGAAGTAGTGTTTTCGGGAGGAGAGTTAGGGGTTTGCACTGGGAGGAGGACCATGTCTTTTTAACATTGCACTGAACTGAATTAATTATAAAATTCCCAATTTCCATCAATCTCTCCTTACATTAATATAATGAACAGTCACCATAAATGCGAAAACAATTTTCTGCATTTTGGTACAGACAAATTATACCCTTCCTTTTGTCGACATAAAGTTTGACTTACCATTGTGTACAAGCTCAAATTCATGAGCCAGCCATTTCACGACAACTGGTTTGAGTTCTTGCAAGGGTCGGTTTGCATCTTGATGAAAGAGATGGACATAGCAGAATCAACAATATGTACATATTATTGCCATAGTGCTTGCAATGTTGTATCCAGCAACTCACCTCTTTTAACACTTTTGAACTCTCCTGACTTCGCTCCAAAAAAGACCAACGCATTGCACGCATCGTTCCACTTGCTTTGGAAGTCGTGTTTCGTCAGCTTTGCGTCGTATGAATGGCAAAGACTGTTTCGCAGATCTTTCAATTTATCAAGAGCTCTCTTCACAGCTTTTCCGGGCTCATTTGGTAAGAGAATGTTGACAAAAAGTAACAAGTCCCAAGTTTTTGTGTCACCAGAGGTGACTTTGGTGTTTTCATAAGGAAGTATCTTAGGTTTCCAAATTCGGGTCAAATCAGCTCCATCCTGTGGGCAGTCCATCCAGGGCCTGTGTCCAGCTGAGTCCCATTTGCGTATAAAATAGGCACGCAGCTTGGGGGTTCCAACTCTCAGGAGAAGCAACAGCAAACAATAATAATTTCTAGAAAATTTTAAAAAGTCGTTTTATTAAGTTTAATTGCACTTTATTCAGTAAATGAACAATCACTGCCCTGCGTGCTCTTTCTAGACTGGCCGAACACTTTGGACTTGGAGAGATGATTAGATTTACATGCAAACATTTATATTTCAAAATACGTTTGAGGGAACCAAAGAGGAAAGCAATAGGGCAACAAGCGAAGAGTGATGGGTCAACTACACTTCTATTACGTTTGGTCTTCCAGCCGACTAGCCTTCAGTGGATATTTATTTGGTTTACAAATAAAAGGCTCGAAAGTTTCATTACACAGCAGTGCTTTCCCCCTATCATAGTATCATCCGTTTCTCGATCTCTATAAGAATCACAATCACAATCTTGATTTGATATTTTGAAAAATCGCGTAAGGTTCATTTTTTTCAAGAAAAAAAATATATATGCTCAGTTACATTACATTCAATGCGAATTTAATTCGTATTTTAGCTTTAGTTTTAATTCCTATCAAAATTTGCTGTAAAACATAAACAACGTAGACAGTCAATCTTGACCCTGAGGTCGCCAATGACGTCATTGCTTTCTGCTATTTACATATCAGATCGTTTATTAGTATTAGGGTATTCCCCTTCTTTGTTATGCCACATATTAAAAATGAAAGGATCTCGATGGTTTTTTTTGACTTTCACGAAATTTTGTAGGATTAATTTCAGTGATTTATACTCTAGGATACCGATAATTTTTATTTGCTGAACTGACAGCTGAAGCTAGTCTAGGGAGATCGATTTTTACCTATTAAAGTCACCAAACTAGGTAAAGAACTTACCTTTCTTCATCACTATCCATGGCTACTCGGTCTCGAGCTCGATCGAGTGAGCTCAAAGAGAAACTCTGAAATAAACAGGACGACTTTATTCATATGAATTTTTGAGCATGTCTAAACAGCAAAGAGGCGAACTAAAATATTCAAATTCCTAGCACTGAAACGTGTTTAGTAATTGGACTTCGATGCGCCTAAACCGTATGCTATCAAAAGTTCTAAGGCTTCTCTGCTGATAGACACTGATTGAGTACACTTTCTTTTTATATTTTTTATATTTATATTTTTAGGCACTCCGCTTGGCATGCAAGCAAGTTTTTTACATGTGTGCCCTGTAAGTTCATTGGCGTTGATATCTTACCTTATTTTTAATACGGTTTCTGCTGCTTATGATGAAATAGTTGGCTCAATTCTCTTAAACGATTCAGCTTGGCGAAGAAACGTTCCAAACGCAAAAAAAGAAAGCAGACAGACCTGGGGGCTTGCCGAGCTTGTCTTAAAAGACAAACAACTTTGTCATGTGATTACTCGAACCAATCAGCTATACAGTAGATCCTTTTTGTCTGGGCTTCCTGTGGAAGAAATAATTCGATGTCTTGATTACGTCGCCGTCCGTACGTCTGTCCGTGCGTCCGTCCGTGTACAAACTACAGGACTCCCGCCGCTGGATTTCAAAGCAAAAGTCGCGAATGCAAAACAAAAAACAAAAAAACAAAAAAACAAAAACAAACAAAAACAAAGGCGAAAATAATTTAAAAAAACCGTCGCTTTGGGACAAATTTTAGGCCAAGAACAACACCAAATTAAAATTTATTGTGCATATATAGTTCAAAAAAAACCTATATCTTCAAGAATCTAGGTATTATTCTAGCGAACAATCGTATGTTTTTCCTTTCTAGAAAAAAGTATTTTTTAATTCCCTCCAATCGACAAATCATAGACTTTCTCTCAAAAGGTTTAATACTTCTATAGATAATTTATTCTATTGTTGAATAAGTTTCTAGTGGTTTGACTAACATGTTTATAGAGTTGTTAGATCAACGAGATTTTTTAATTGTCAGTCGGATTTGAGTGACGCGTGGTGTGACTAAGAGTAAAAGTTTTAAGCTCATCTCTTTCCTCTTTATGAACTACCTTCCACTGATTTGAATAGTAAAAAATATAAAGTTTTACCTTGCTGATATTATCATATGTATACTTTTGAATTTTAAAATCAAGATTATTAGTATTAGAAAATCAAAAACACAATCTTTGGTAACCTAGCAGGACACGTCAAAATGAAGGACGTACGACAATAAGAGGAAGTGAAACACATGGTGTATTTTATAGTGGAAATTGCAAATCCCTCAAACTTGGAGTCCTAAGGAGACCTAAGGGATATAGCATATTATGAAGACTATTCAACGTGCAGCCATGCGTAACATGCATAGTTGCATAATCTGTGAAGTCAACGGTCGCACGAGTAGGGGTTTTCTATCAGGATGGTAACATCATTGACTTATGACTAAATGAACAGACAGGGAGCGTCCTGTCATAGTTTTTTTTCGGCGTTTATTTGTGTTTTCTTCCCACCCTCCCTCCCTTAAAGTTTGAAAAATCACGTAGCCATCCCTCTACTGCGGTCTCGCATTTTCCCCATAACTCACTATCAATTCTATTGTGGAGCATTGTTTGCACTTTGAATATATTACTCAGTACCAAGCCCCCTCTGGAAGCTACTCGCTAAGGGTTTTGTTGGTTTTTGTTGCTGGTTCGAGAGAGATCTAGTAATGAAAACGAGGAAGACTAAGTTCTAGTCCCGCTCGGTCAACTCTCAGCTAACACAGGCAGCCAAGTATAGGAAAATAAAGAGAGAGAAAAGTGCAAAGAGACACCTTCGGAGGAGGCTAGCTGGATACGAAGGTACGCGGCTTACATTTGACGTAACTAACGTAACCCCGAATATGTTTTCCAAAAATTAGGATATCATTTTTTTACGCAGCCAGAGGAGTATAGGAACACACGTAACGCAACATTATTTGTTATCGAGACTGAGCATCTCAAAAAATTGGCATTGGTTTCTAATCACAACTAACGAGCCAATGTCTTTCCCCCTTCCTCCCCCTAGCCCCTCCCCAAAGCGCCGCCACGCACGCTAAATTTCAAGTGAATAGTTTTAACCAAAGTGAAATTAGCGTCGGATTGGCAGCATCGGATTCAGATTAATTGTTGAGATTCAGAATCATTTCCGGGGGAGTTCAACCAAGTCATTCTATTAAAATCCTCTCTGTTCCCCTAACGTACGTGGCAAAATCATGAATAAATTTCGATTAAACTTTCTTTTCTGATTTATATTCATGATATTCTATGCTTTTCAATAGAATATACCGCCTATTCTCGACGCTTACTGATTTTGCTCTCAGCCACGTATTGAATTCGTATTACATCTGGGATGTAGCAGGAGTCCAATCCGAGGCTGGGATGAAATACGATCCCAATCCGAGGCTGGGATGTAATGCGATCCCAATCCGAGGCTGGGATGTAATAGGAGTCCAATCCAAGGCTGAAATGTAATACGATCCAAATCCGAGCCTGAGATGTAATACGATCCCAATCCGAGGCTGAGATGTAATACGATCCAACCGAGGCTGAGATGTAATACGATCCCAATCCGAGGCTGAGATGCAATACGATCCCAATCCGAGGCTGAGATGCAATACGATCCCAATCCGAGGCTGAGATGTAATACGATCCCAATCCGAGGCTGAGATGTAATACGATCCCAATCCGAGGCTGAGATGTAATACGATTCCAATCCGAGGCTTAGATGTAATAGGAGTCCAATCCGAGGCTGAGAGCAAAATCAGTATAATGAAATGTAAATAGATTCCGATACGAAAGTTAGAAGTAAAATCGATTTCACTATGAAGGTTAGAAGGTAATAAATTGAATGTTTAATTGATACAAATTAAATCGTCAGTCCATTATTGTCAGTTAAATGTTTTGAACGCTCGCGTGACTTGTAATCCGAGTCTAATCCGAGGCTGAGAGCAAAACCAGTAAATTCGTCGAGAATAGGTAGTGTATTCTATGAAGAACATGGAATATCATAAATAGAAATCAGAGTAGAAAGTTTAATCGGAATTCGTTTGTGATTTTGCCACCGTTAGGGGAAAAAGAGGATTTTAGTAAAATGACCTGTTTGACCTCCCCCGGAAATGATTCTGAATCTCAATGATATCAATCCGACGCTAGCTTCACTTTGGGCGCGTTCATTCTGTAACTTTCTAGCTAGCTAAAATCGCATTTAGCTAGCTAAATACGATAACCATAGTGTGGACACGTTTTTCTAGTTAGCTAGAACTTTACCGGAAATGTGGAAATTTTAAACCATGTCGGGACATGGTATTTTTGCTCGTATAAAGCTCGCTAAAGGTGTTTACGTTGAAAGATTTTTGTTTGCTTTGCTGTGGGTCATAACCAGTATCGGCGAGGTCAACTAGGTGGTTTCGAGTTGCAGTTAACTGAGCAAATCTCGTGTCGAGTTGACCAGAACAGTCGAAGTGTTTCCGCTTGGTTTTACTTACATTTTCCTCGATATTATAAGTCGCTTGGTTGAAATAAACATGAAAAGGGCGTACAGAAGTAAAAAAGCTCGGACTGATTCGGCCATGTTGATCCAAGCAGAAATCCCGCCAAAAGTTCAAAACTGACATAGTAAATTACTTTTGTTGTTCGATAACTCGTTTTCTACATTAATGATGTGAACGTCAAAAAGTCGTTAACTAGCTTAACTTGAAACGTGATGCATGACGGATAAACAAACATTAAAATGAACTTACGGTGTGATCGCAGCCTTTGGTATAATTGAACTTTCACCATATAGCGTAGCTTGATATAGTATTTACTGTGGATCACATTGCAAGGCGTTCTCGGTGCCCTCTCTTCATCCTGGAGCAAACGGATCGTCGACAAAAGGTTAGTCTTACTCACTGCTACACAAGCCCGAGAAATTCAAACGGGGTACATGAGTTAACTTACAAACTGCGCGAGCCAACTACTTGCACATATATTTTGTTATTGATGAGTTTTGTTATTTTTTGTGTCTTGTTAAACATTAACTAGCATGCTGCCCCCGGTTTGCCGGTTGCGCGTCTAGGACTCTGTTTTTCATTATGGCGTCATTTACTACCACTTGAACACTTTCTTTTGTTCAATTATTTAATTGTCTTACTATTTTCATGAGGGAATACGAATTTGAGTAAGAAAGGAAAATTCGCCAAGCATTTTCGTAGGGGTTAAATAAAAGACGCCATCTTGCAGACGGCCATTTCTTGGCTTTCACCCGAAGTCATCACAAATCTAAAACCAAAACAATTCAGTCCACAAAACCGTTTGTCGAGTATTTTGTTTATACAGATAGAATAATATGTACTTATTGACTGAAAGGGAGGGCCGTACGGGAAAATATTTGGCTCGAGGTGATGTCGTACGAACCGAGCGCAGCGATTTTTTTAAGAGCGCGCACCCGGGCAGATACGGCTCATATGATAATAAAAGGTCTTACCCTAGTAAATTTGTATTATCGATGTTTGATTTATTTGATTTATTGCGAGTCAAATACTGTCACGCCATTCTGTCACCCATTTTCAAAGCAGTAGAAATATATGGAAATTTGTTTGAAATAATACAATTTTAACATAGTAGATAATGGATAACATTCATAAGACCGAATTCATTCTTGCAATTCCTTCACGTTTTCTCGGATTCGGACTCTGAGCCCGCGGCAAAATGATAAACAACGATTCAGTCACGTCATTTGCAATATTTCTAGGCGATTTATGGTGTTTTGGAGAATCGTTTATCTATACCTTACAGTAAAACAAACCGGCAGGGATTCCGCACGCTAGTTTGAGATAACTGAGAGGTCGGCGAACTCTGCGAATGTCTAGGATTCCGAATACTTCAGCTTTAGTTTGCTCATAAATCCAAGATCGCAGATGGCTGCAAACACACAGTTAGATATCGTGAAAAGTAGGACACCTTTCTTGATGAATGGTAGGAATAATTCATCAGTACCCCTATTGCTGCAGTCGGGCTACATCTTTTCTTCTTCCTTCTTTCTCTCTTTCTTTCTTTCCTTCTTTCTTTCTTTCTT